TTTATTGATTATGAACTGAAGCAAGTACAAGTTTTATTATGATTTTTTTTTTACTGAGATACAAAGGAGCAGATGTCTTCTCAAAAACATCCACACAGCCAGAAGTCCCTTTTGCAAACACATCTAACCCACTAAGATGGAAGTGGTGGAGTTTAATACAGACACTGGAAGCTAGTCACCTAGAGGTGATGTAGATATCTGTGGGGATTTTTGTCTCTTAATACATTTCCTTATTTACCCCATGCAAATCCGTCTGCTGAGAACAATATGAGGAAACTGATCTGACTTCTTGTTCTGTCAGCTCTAATCTAAGTCACATAAACCCAGACAGAGAGGTGACTGCTGATCCTATGGTCACTGGAATCCCACTTTGTAAGCTAAAACATTTCAGTGCAGTCAGTGGTAGCTTAGCAATGACATGTGCTGCTTGTAATATGAACTTCATCCAGCCCTGAAACAGCTGGAGAAGAGAAGCTGATCTTAAAGGGAAATTAAAAACAGTAACAGTGGATTATATGTGTGCATCATCCTTTGTGCATCCCTAGTGCTCATAGCAGACATTCAAATCCAGAGCAGGAACCATAAAAGTCAGCTGCGTGCAGATGAATTCATAGAACTGAAAAAAGAAATGAAATACAAAAAAGCTTTAGGATTGTGACTGCAGGTATTTAATGGTTTGCTTCTATACAGTTTTGCATCATAGCGCATAGAGAAGACAAATATGAAGTAACCAACGGGTAGATCCGTTTCTGATTTAGGTTTTGATCAAATTGCCAACATATACATTTTGATGAAACTCAGATTGCTCCTTCCCAGGTTGTGGCACAACAAAGCTAAAGAAAAAGAAAACACATGCAAACGAAATGCAAAAGAAATGCAAACGATGAAAAACTGAAGGATGGATCCTTTCACTCACACACCCAAAGCCCACTGTGTGGATTCACCGAGTATCCTGTAAGATTCTTTTTCAGAGAAGTGTGACAGCCTGGAACACAGAGCTCTGACACTTACAAAGTGTATGTGTTTTTTTCTGCTTGCAGTATCCACTCCCTGCACACATGTGTTCGCTGTTTTCAGACCTGTACCCTGTGAAACAGCACAACACGCTGCTCTCTGAACACTTCAGTGCCGACAACAACTGACAGCACGGCCGGCTGCTTCACACGTGAACCTCATAAAAATGGCTTTACCTTCCACTCCGGAGATTAATCTGCCTTTCTCTGCTGTCTCCTCTCACTGTGGCTCACCTTTCTCGACACACGCGCGCAAAAGCGCCGGTGGTGAGGAGGCACGAGTAGGTGTAATTAACAGGAGAACTGGTGTGACAGAATGAGAGAAGGTTCAAGGCTGATGCTAACAGCTCTCTTTTCAGGCTGTCCCAGCAGAACAAAATAGGATCGGGGAGACTGTTGTTGGCCGGGTCCAGGCCTTCTAATTAAAGCAGCAGAAACATCATTCATCAGGTCCACTTTCTTCATTTCCAGGTGTAAGGCAGCCTGGCAGGCAGATGTGGTCATTATATAACTCTTCACATCAGCAGACATCACACATTTATTCAGTCTCGAGCCTAATCATAACCACTCAGGCGTTTGATAAAAAATCGTAGAAAAGAAGCATTTCATTTGGACTCGTTTAAAAAAAATCACCTCTGTATGTTTAGCTTTCCATCATAATGCCAGACGTGAAACGTGGACAACAGCCATGTGCTGGAGGGTTCACAATGTGACCATTCACTGCTTGAGGTTTGCGAGCGTGCTGTCAGCACTTATTTTACTAAGGAAATATGAATACAATGGCAGTGTAGGGTGTAAGCTCACAGTGTTTCAGGTCTCTCTCTGAAAGTTTCGCTTGTTGTTTCATTTCATTTTATTTTTGTGACCGGGGCTGTGCTCATTAATCAACAACACAATAAACTGTAAAAACAGAGCCAACCCTCTATAAGCTAATTCTATTGTCTCTGGCAAGCTCTTAAAAAGGCAACCTAAAATTGGCAGCACTCTTTGTGATCATATTTTCTTTAAAAAGTGTTTATGTCCTAAAGTATCCAGCAGAGTTTATCTTAACTTAATGTGAGGCTTTGGCAGTCTGCGCTTTGTGTCTAACCAGAAAGAATTTCGTCCTGAAACTTTGGAAATAGTTTGATTAATTAGGGCTGCTCAGGCATCGTTAACTTCAGCTACTCTCTCCTCACTTCGATGTGCCAGTATGGTGTTTGCTTTTAATAATAAACAGATTAACCAAATCCACAGTGCAGGAAAAGTTGTTTACTAGGATTGTAATGTAGGAAAACTGGGATGAAAAGTTAATTTCCAGTAAAATGTGTTTTTGTTTGTTTGTTTGTTTGTTTGTTTGTTTGTTTGTTTGTTTGTTTGTTTGTTTGTTTGTAAAACAAAAAAACCCTTTATATTCATATCTAAACTCACTGTGTAACCAAACACCACATATGTTAGGCTTTTGTGGTGTTTCATTAAGTTGCAGGGCAAATGACAGTAAGGTACGTTGCTTTTGTGTTTCAGATATGAGAAATAATACGCCTTGCTTTTATTTACAGGTCATTCTCGATAACGCCTAAAATCACACTTGGTTAAATCGAAACAAAGTACAGGTGAGCTCAGATTGGTTTTAGTTCAGTTTTAGTTGACTTTCATTTTGTAATAGCCTGATGGATGGATGAAATGATGGATACTGATTTCCAAAGAATGTTACCAGAAAACCTCTAATATAACCCTGCTTACAGTAGGTCAGCAGCAGTCTTTGACATTTTAAGGCTTTGTCACCAAACTCATCTTGGACCTCTGCTGCCCTCTGCTGACAAACCACCACACTGTGCACACCTCTGTTTCCCACTGAAGCGGCACACAGTGAACATTAAAGATTGAGGATATAGCTGGAGCTTACCCTGCACACTAAATATTACAGACATGTTTTGGAGATTAAAACACTTCATGTCATGGTAGCATTCCCACCGACTCCTTTGGTCTGTAGTTCTTTGTAGTCCCTCACCTGTCCGCCACATTCACACAGCCACCACAGCATTCTCCACAAATACACATCATCATTTAATGGAACAGGAATTTTCAGTCACACTTAGGAAAATGATTTAGTGTTGTTTTTTTTTCCCCCCCCAAAACATCAAAATGCCAAGGAGCCACTGACTCACCAAATTGCTTCCTTAGGAGCTGTTATAATATTAAAAAATAATTTAAAAATAAATAAATAACTCTATTCTTAGGCCAGGAGAAGTACTCAGAAGTATTACACAAATTTAACCTAACCCAGTCTTCAGATGTTTTGAGAATACAGGCACTGTTTTCATGGAATAGAGTGCCACATAATGAGGAATTATGATGATTTTAAAGAAAGAATACAGCATCACTGATACATTACCAGAACACATCAGAGAGTTACTGCTGATGCTGTATTGGACTGCATTATATTTAAAGATGCTTCTGATTACAGGAATACGGCACAACCAGACTGTGTGGGATAATGTACAGGAACATCTGTGCTGCGTATGGGAGAAGTCCCCAAGTCCTGATGGGACACACCTTGGAAGGTGGTTGAGAACAACAGGGCTAAGTTCCTGTGGGACTTCCCGTTCCAGACAGACAACCAGCTGGTGGTCAGCCAACCAGACTGGCTGACACGCAACAGAACACCGCAGTTATGATAGATGTGGCAATCCCAGTGGACAGCAACATCAGGAAGAAGGAGCATGAGAAAACAGAGAAGTACCAGGGGCTGAAAGAACATCTGGAGCAGATGTGGAAGGTAAAGTCCAAAGTGGCCCCAGTGGTAATAGGAACATTAGGAGCTGTAACCAGCAGAGTACAGGCACAACATCAGAAGAGCGCAGTCCCAGGAATAGCTAACATACAGCACGGAACCCTGTCATCGCCGTGTCTGCATCGTTTCTCTCCATTCCAAATGTACAATACATAGATTTAATATATTTAATAATTTATATTTATTCATTTAATAATTCACAATACAAAATTGAGATTATTTAAGGTTTTTCAAGAGATCCCTAAAGTGAACAAAGTTGCTTGAATAACCTCAGAGTCCCTTGATGCTTGCTTAATGACAGCTTTCTCTGTTTCTCAATCATCAAGTTTTAAGTTTATGCACAAGAAAACCTTGAGCAGGTTTAGCTGAAACACAACCAAGCTATATGGCACACAGCCCAAACAGCACATGATGTGGCTGTGTGCACTCCACACAGCGTGTGCAAAGATGAGTTCTTGGCTAATTGTGACAAACCAACCACAAGAAGGCAACAGAAACTAAAGAATACAACATGACGGTTGCATGCATCACCTATGATAATGCTGCTGAATCTTTTAAAGACAGAGGAAAACAAAGTCATAAAAATATAAGGCAATAGCAGTGCCGTTGAGAAGGAGATAAAATGACTATGCTGAGAGACTCCTGAGTATCCTAGATAATTCGTTTTTTTCATTCAGCAGTGATTTGGGGAATTTTTCAAAGATAGATAGATAGGAGCTGCCATAGCAAGTATAAAGCTGTTCTGTGTCTTTGTGCAGCCAGATGCATTCTTTGGATGCACCTCACGCTCTACTTAGCTTTGTGTAAAGTAAGATGACGGTTAAACTTGAAAACTCAGTGTACACACCCTGGTATTATATAATACTATGCTGATAAGAAATATGCTGATAAGCCTTTGGCCAGACAGTTACAGCACCACAGTCACGGACATCTGTGCTTTTACAACTAGGCCTACTGCAAAGCATAAAGGACTAAAAAGAAGACACACAGAGCCACGGAACTGTAATGGGTTTTTAAATTTCCTAGTGAAATGTGGGTCTATAGTAAGTAATCTATACTTTCTTCTTCTTCTTATGTTTTTTTTTTGTTTTTGTTTTTTTTTCTTTTTCATTCCATAAATTGTTTTCTCTAACCCTCCAAACCCACAGGGCAGCGCTTTACTATGGGTAGGCGGAGTCTGCAGGGAGTGGGCCTGCCCGGCGCTTTTTAATCCAGATGCTCTCCGCCGTGCACCCTGCGTCCGGCAACGAGCTGACACAACCAAGAGGTGAAAGAAGACACACCACCCAGCAACATGACTGCACCCAGCAACACCTACGATGTTATAGTGGTCGGCGCGGGCATATCAGGTAGGCTGCACGTCAGAAAACTTTAGTTTTGTGTTCAGGCTCCGCGGACGAGCTGAGCAAATAAACTGATTAAAGCCAAAGCTCCGAGCAGAGCTGGTAGCGGTCAGATGCGCTTTGTGGAAGGTTAACTACACAACTGTGGCCGTGAGCGAGTGTGTGAGAAGACGCGGCACATCCTGTATCCACAGCTGACTGTGTGCAGAGCTGACAATGATGGAGGTTTTTTTTTATTCGTATTGTTTTTCTTCTTCACGGTGTTCTTCCGTGAGGCTGCCTCCCCTCCCCTCCAGCAGCTAGTCAACCTCTGTATCACCGCAGCAACAGCAGAGCAAGTTGAGTAACAGCTAATCAACCAGCGCATACTTTGTGTTACATAAGAGGACGTGAGCTGGAGGGGTTCGCGTAAATGATTGTTGCTCGCATCCATAAGGCTGACATGTGTCTTGGCCCGTGTTGTTGGATTGTACAGATAAAAGCAGCTGGTTTGTGTTCGCTCTATGATCCAGGTGGAGACTGGCCGTGATGCTGAGGAGGAGTCCAGCAGCCATGTGAAAAATGACGCGATGTGTGGATTACAAACGTTGCATTTGACGCAATAGGTGTAATATTGCACACTTGCATTTTAAGTACAAGTTGGCAATCCCCCCCCCCAGTAGTAATAAATAATAATAACAATGATAATAATGCATAGGAGGGGAGGGAAATGCACTGGGCGCCTTCTGGTACTAAACACTCCTTAGAAAACAGGCTGTGTGCTGTTCTTACCTAACAAGGGAAACCTTTACTATGAGGATAGTGAATGTTCTCAATCCTAGAATGCAAATCTTTGTACATAGTGTCATTTGGTAGGGATGTGCTGATACATCAGCTGAATATCAGTGTTGAGTCAAAAAATGATTTTATGTCCAGTATTTCTGCTTATGTATGTATGATAAATAGTCTGCAGTCAGCAGGATTTACAAAGAGGTTATGTATAAAGTAAGGAAATACATATCTTTATGACTCTGTCTTCTACATTATAACCGATCCAGACCTTACCTAACTGTTACGTTATAGGTTTTGCAATTTCTGCTGCCTTTTTGGCCAGACCTCTCTTGAAAACAACATTTTTAATGTCGGTGAAACATTTACATTCATAAATAAATGATCTAAAAAAGTCGCTTTGCCCAAAACTGCTTGTAGCTGTCACTTTGTGACAGAAATGTTCTTTCTGGCTCAGACTGGCTTGATACCAAATCACTTCTTGCAAATGATCACTTTTTGGCATAGCACTGGTATTGGCCAAAATATCTGCAAATATGATGGTGTATTGTAGCCAGTATTTATCTGGTGTTGCACGTCAGTTTTGCACTGCCTGAATAGTTCAAAGTTGGGCTGGGTGTAGGGCTATTTCCATTGGACAAAAACGGAAAATAAAATCCACAAAAACATTCAAGATTGGGAAAGAAAGAAAGAAAAATAAAGGGAATGGACTGCCACTTTCTAGTACCGCAGGTTTTTTTGTTTTGTTTTTGTTTTTTGACTGTCTTGCCCGGTCACACTAGGAAAAATTGGTGATTGTTCTTTTTCTTTTTTTTTGCTTTTGAGTGGTTGAGGTGGCCAGATGATCACCCAGAGTTTGAGCCTACTGTACAACACCCTCAACTTCAGCAGGACCACTTTCCATATCAAGGCGATTGGAAACAGGTTGCCTTTCACCAAGTGAGCTGTTTCCAATTGTCCAACTTGGACTGAGTGCAGTCCCTCTCAGGTAGACTGGCAAAGGTTCGCAAACAATTACCCTTTAATTTATAAATGCAGGCAGATTGCCAACACATTGTGATCCATGTGCAGTGATGAATGCTACAGCGTGTTTCTGTGCAGTGGTGGACTCGACTCAGTCGGTTATATTCTGGTCATTTTTGAGATATTACCACAAACAGATTGCATGTAGTTGTCAGCTTAAACCATTCAGTGGGAAACTGGTCGCAGACTTTCTCCCAGTCTTTGATGTTTTCTCGCCATCGTGACATTTTGAAGATGGCAGTTGACTGCGAGTGGTTTTAAACCAGGTCCTGTCTTAAATTTAAAACATTTGAATTCATTAAGTCTGGTAAGAATAATGAGCTCTGAATCAAAGACGCTGATTGACATACTGTATGTCAGCGGTCCCCAACCTTTTTTGCGCCGCGGACCGGTTTATGCCCGACAATATTTTCACGGACCGGCCTTTAAGGTGTCGCGGATAAATACAACAAAATAAAACTAGTACCGGTACCGAAAAAAGAAGATTTATTCATAACACACGTGAAAAGACCCAGGAAAACCGAGTTAACGATAAAAGCGATAACAAAATAACGCTGAAAACCTGAGCCTCAACTCTCGCGGCCCGGTACCAAACGACTCATGGACCGGTACCGGTCCGAGGCCCGGGGGTTGGGGACCGCTGCTGTATGTGGTGTAACGTCAAAACTTTGAATCCCTGTTGTTCCCGGCTGTTTCGATGCAGCTACACAACTTTCAGACACACACTCCTGCAAATGAGCAGTCAGGTTGGCAGGTGCAAAACTTCAGGGCAGGATTTTAGCATCTGTGGCGTTGGTGCGGTGACTGAAGTTGTTTTTCCCGATGTGAGTGAACCTCTGTCCTTTCTGTTCCCCATGCCTGACCGCTGCCTCACTCTCTGTTAGTCTGACAGTTCCATCGACTGCCTGCCTGCCTGCCTGCCTGCCTGCCTGCATGTCTGCTGTCAGGCACTAAAGAATTTAGGTCAGTGTCAGTTCAAATACCAGTCACACAGACAAAAACAAATGCTACAGAGAAAATGCAACAACACCAGAAGACCCTGCTGGCTTCCCCCTGCTCTGACTTTCCTCACTTTCCCACATTAGGTTCTTGTAATTACACCGTTTGTTTGTACTGCTGCCCTTTGCAGGGTTACAATGAGGGCCACATATAACAATCACTGTCCAATCAAAGCACATATGAAACAGGAGGAAGAGGGAGTGCTCTTTCTGCCCCTTCAGCACCTCTCCACTAAGATGTGTGTCTCTCTAATTTGCTTGCAAATGCAATTGTCTGTTTTCTGCCAGCCAGGACCACGGACCTGGTGCGTTCGTGGCCCTCAAGGTGCAGCCAACACTTTCTGAGAAAACATTAAATGCTTGTGACAGCCTGTTATCAAACCAGCAGCCGAGAGGATGCCAAGGAAAAGGAGTGGAGGAAAGGAGAAGGGGGAGGAGGAGGGTCAGATAAGCAGAAATAACAGGGAAGGGACGATTTCCTCATGTTTTGCCTGAGCAGCTGTGAAAGTGGACAAGAATATGTCAGGATTAGGGAAGCGAGAAAGGGAATAAAGTGCAAACTGGGAACTTGAGTTGGTTGTGAAGCAGCAAAGAGGATGGAAGTGGTAAAACAGACAGTTCAAAAGTAAGTGGTTCACAGGGCCTGTATCTCCCAAGCTAACTTAAAGCTGTCATGCAGTGCAGCATAGTTTCCCCCATTAAACTGCACAGTAGAGGATTTAGAAACTTTGGCTGCACTTTGTGGTGATGAACTCTGCTGGACTTTTACCCGGAGAACTGGCTGTAAAGTTAAATGACTGTAAAATCCCAAGATAAAATTACACATGTGAGCACATTAGGGCAGGCAAGGGTCCAAGTAACATACATGTCATAATCAGACAAAGAACCAACATGCTTCCTGCACGTGTCTATAGCGTAGTTTCACAAATAGTCCTTTCTTGGTGTGTGACTGTTTATGTGTGCTTCGAGAAGGGAATATAATCATTCCCATTCAGTGCAGTTTTCCATGTTGTGTATACTTTAAGAACATTTTAAGCTAACAAAGCGCAAAACATAGAAAGCTTTTCAACCAAAGTGCTTGTCTGTGTTTAGAGGGTGTGTTGTGCTTTTATACTTGTTAGAAGTGAATGCAGGTCAGACATTGGTTTACCCAGCCGACGTGAATCGTTTTGGTTCACTCGGTGCACCATTTGTCATCGAGTGACAATGTTGTATTTGTGCCAATAGAGGGGATGCATGCTCTATTACCTCTACTGAGGCACATCCTTACTTTCTTAAATGATGTGTGAAATGCTACATGGAATTTGTGATGATAAATATAGAGTAAATAATCAGCTGCCTCGCCAGTGACTCCCTCGTCTTAGGAAGAAGCTAACGTCATCTGTGGTTGGGAAACACGAGATGGCAAGGACCACAGCTCAGGGTTAGCTTAGGGTTCTGTACAATCATCCCCTGTGAGTCGCCATTAACTAAAAATGGAGGAATGGGTTAAGGTGCATCTATTAAGTATTGCCATCCACCCATTGTGATAAGCACTGTGTGGCCCAAATACAAAAAAACAGCAGCAGTGAGAGAAGTTATATCCCTCTTGGTGAGTAGGTTAGCAGGAGAGCCAGGTTCACATCTAACAATGAATGATTTAGCCTACTGTGATGAATAATGAATAAAGCAGATTCATCCGAGTGAACATACAGTATATCAGCTGAACAGTATTAAGTTATCATATTATTATCAATAAATTTATTATTGATTTACTGTCACAAATTGAATAGATCGGATAAGGAGCCTCATATTTAATGATGCAGGCTTTATTTGAATGATAGTTTGACTGTAGCATTGTGGTTGTATAATAACTACAGTTCCCTCTCTAATACAAATAGAAATGATTCAGCTGAAATTAGGGCTGCCACGATTAGTCGACTAGTCACGATTACGTCGACTGTCAAAATCGTCGACGACTGATTTAATAGTCGACACATTGTTTGAAGCTTTGTAAGATCACAAAAGAGGCAGGAATAAGTAGTGGGACTTAAGAGTGTAATAACGGACTGAAACAGAAGATGGCAGCACTGCATGTACAAGGATGCCAGCTGCCGTTAAACCCCAAAGAAGAAGAAGTAGCTCTGTCCCAGAATTCATAGCGCGGCCCAGCTTAGTTTCCAACAATGGCGGCAGCTAGTTAGTTTTACTATTACTCTTATTATTCTTTCTGGGTCA